GTACACATGACTATTGGGGCAGTAAAAATAACTGTTGTGGTCAACTGAATATCACAAGTAAAGGGAAATCATTAAAAGACGGAAGTAGTAACTAAACATATTTAGGTCAAAAAGAACAAGGTTTTGACAAAACCAACCAACATTTCCACTCTGAAAATGAGACAGACAGACATGTGCTGCTTATAAAATAAGACTGCACATCTGACTAGCTAATATATTGTGTAGCCGGAAAATGAAAATGTAAGTTAGGTGTATACAATTCCATGTACTAAAGATGTCATGCCACCTCTGTGCCTACCCCACTGGCACAATGAGTTTTAGTGTGCCTTGGTAGTAAGAGTTACAGGTGTTAAGATGAGAAGAAAGGACGAGAGAGAACAATTCACCTCACTGCATTTCCCCTGTAAAGTTGGCACACGATATAGATGGTATATTCAGTCACAGGATCAATATAGAAATATGTTCTGCTCTCAATTGGACTTGGCACAACTTTAGGAAAGAAAAGACATAAGTTCATATTTTTTTGTACATTAAAGAGCAGTGATTCTTAACTATTTTGGGCATCGACCCAGATTCATACTTCCCAATTGTCGCAATATAGGACTATTTTAGGCACAAACTCCTCTCCCACTTTTCTATCCCAATATCCTTTTTTTCTTAGGAGCTCCATATTGTTGGGGCATCTGAGTGTGTAACAGAGCTTCAAAGGAATAATACAATAATGTGTCTTAAAGCTGCAATAAATGTTTACGAAAAACAGTCCCCATTCTGAATTACATTTTCAATTGCATACTTTGTTATTCGTAAGTCATCTAAAATTTCTCAGAACTGCCCAGCATCTGTCCACACCCCCACTCACACCACTTAAATTAAAGTGTCACTCTTTGTCCACATGAAATGTTGGGAGGTATGCAGATTATGTGGATGGCAGTTCGGAGGACCATTCAATTCTTCAAATGTAAAGTAAGCTTCATTATGCATTGCTTTTTGTTACAATACATAAGAGTACTTTGATGACTCTTAACAAGAAGAAGTGTTTCCACTGTTCAGGAAAAAAAAACAAAAAAAAAAACAGCAATACCACAGTAATGAACTTGCTCCAAATACAGACATGGTGCCTAAAGCTTGAATAAATAGGACGTGCCTCTTGCAACCAGTGTGGACCCACTGAAATACCATAGAGAACTATTTTTGGTCCACATTACAGGCATTAGAATCCACTTTTTTTACGAATTAATGCTGTATTTTGACAGTTTTCATGGATTCTGGGGGTGCTATAGGATATTTGAAGGAAAATATACATACACTCATACACCACATATACAAGTGTGCAGTTTCTTTTTTGTGTTCCTTTTCGGTTACCACTATTCTTTCTATTTTGAGCTTGGCATTTGGATTGTTAAAATGCAACTTCCCTTCATTTAAGAGGAAATACATTTATGTTTTGGTTTCTTCATTAACACTGTCTTATGTTTTCAAATTGTACCCTATTCATTACTTTTCTAGCAAATGCTGTATAACAAGCTTTTCATATATAAATGGGGTCAAACTATGATGCAAATCCAGTCAAGATGGCGGCTGCTAGTAATGTAAGCAATGGGTATGGAAACAGTACACTTTAACAAGCCCTGTGTAAGTAGTCAGATCCCACTCCATTGTAGATGAATAGGAAACACTTGTTATGCAAATAAATTATAGTAAACAAACAAATTTAAAAGGGACACTAGTGTCAGGAATACAAACATTTTCCTGACACCAGTGCTGAAGTTGCTCTTTAGATGTCCAGCCCTCCCTGCAGTAAAAGTGATTTTACTCACCTTTCCTCCCACACTGCATCTGCCTCACCATAGCTGGCTATTCCTCCATGGCGGAGATCAAACTTCATTATCTCAGCCAATCTAGTTTTTTCATGAAGCTACTGCGCGGAAAGATGCTGCACTGCACCAATTTATCTCTATGAAGAAAGTTCAGAGTCTCCATGCAGAGCGCGCACCACTGAGATAGGGAGCTCTAGTGGCCATCTGAGTGACTGCTACTAGAGGTGTTACTAGCCTCTCTTAAAATGCAGTGTTTATAGTGCCAACACTGCAGGCATATGCCACAGACACCAGAACCACTATATTGAGCTACAGTGGTTCTGGTGGCTATAGTGTCCCTTTAACCCTGCTCAATGTACAGGTCTAGGAGGCAATAATTAATGCCAGTTTAAAAGTGCTGTGCTGTTATCAATTTGCTGGTTTGAGAGTCAAAAATAAACTCATGGGAAAAAAAACACACCTACACAAGAGAAGAAAAAAAAAATATATAAAGTAATATTATTACATAGCACCAACATATTCTATAGTGCTTTATGACCATAGAATGGGAATATCTGGCAAGATAAAAAAGGTGAAGATTAAAAATATTCTGGAATATGGGAAGCCAACAAAGACCACCTCTTTTTCTAACATAACAAAAAGCATGATGTTCAAGCAGACAAAACCTCCCTACCTTTAGTATACAATCCTTCAACCTTGGGAGAGAATGTTTTGACAGTTGCAGGGTTAGTCACTAAAATTAGAATTTACAGTGAAATGCAAATTAAAATGTCAAGATAGCTGAACTGGGAATTAAAAAAAATAAAAATAAACACAACTCTAACCAGCTATGCTCTAAGTTTGGTTACAGTGGCACTTAATACTCTGAATTCTTACTTTATTTTATTTAAAAAAAAAAAAAACGTTATCTGTGCCTTCCCTGCTTCACTCTCTGCAAAGAAGCAGGGAAATTGGTTTTCAAACCCAAGGTATATGGCTGAAGGATCTTGTCAAATAGTAAAGTGACAGGCTTTACTAATTAGATTACATCATTTAATTTTAAGAAAGTATTACATACATAATATAATACATAGTGTTGAGGTGACAGTTGTCTTTGAGAGTATGTTTGAAAATGCATTAAACAAACAAAAAAAACAAAACAAAAAAAACACAGCATTTGCAGTTTTAACCTATAGCAGACAGTGTTCTGTAGTTAAAGAGACACTACAGGCATCCAGACCACTTCTGCCCATTGGAGTGGTCTGGGTGCTAACTCCAATCACCCTTAATCCTGCAAGTGTAATTATTGTAGCTTTATAAACTGCAATAATTACCTTGCAGGGTTAAAGGGACCCCAATGCCAGGAAAACAAATCTGTTTTCCTGGCACTACAGGACCCTGCAGTGCCCACCTTCCTCCCGCCCCCCATCCCATGTCGCTGAAAGGGTTAAAATCCCTTCAGTGACTTACCTGAATCCAGCACCGATGTCCCTCTGCGCTGGGTCAGGCTCCGCCCATGCTCCTCCTTACATCGGTGCGGGAGATCTAATGCGCATGCACGGCAATGGCCGCACGCACAGATATTAGTCCTCTCTATAGGAAAGCATTATTCAATGCTTTTCTATGGGGATTCTGGCAACGCTGGAGGTCCTCATTCACAGCGTGAGGACATCCAGCGTCGTTTAACCCCTTATGACACGTCACATATGTCATGTGTCCTTGATTCCCTTTTATTCCAGAAGTTTGGTCCTTAAGGGGGTTAAAACACTTAAGAACACGGAAGTTAGTCTAGTGGCTGATAGACAGCGGCGGGGGAGGAGCATGGGCGGAGCCTGACAGCACCAAGGGAAATCGGCGCTGGATTCAGGTAAGTGTCTGGAGGGGGTTTCAACTCCTTCAGCGACATGGGGAGACACTGGAGAATCCCTTTAATGCCAATTTTGTTTGGTCCACCACAAACGTCTTTGTAAGCGCGGGATATTGCCCAATCATATGGTTCTTACTGAGGACAAAACTGTGCCGAATCTTGGAATGACCCTAAGGATCAGTGATCAAGTGTCAGATTAGAACAAAACGAGACACCAATTTATTAGTTTGCTTACATTTAAAAATCCTTCCAAAATTTTATCTATATTTTGCCAATACAGGCTATACACGGTGACAATACTACGTGCACCTGCTTCAGTAAAGTTAGCATCACCACATCGAACATACATATGTATAGTTAAAGAATAGAATATCACACACACGTACTTGCCTATTAAAAAAAAAAAAAAAAAAAAATATCATGATTCCCTAAACATTACAAATGTGACACCCAATTACTTTCCAATTAACTATTAACAGTGTGTCCAATGCCAAACATACCAGACTGCTTCATCTAATTTAAGTGATCTGAGTGCAGTTTCCCTTAGAAACTGCAATGTTTACATTGCAGTGCTAAGACTGCCACTAGAAGCACATCCTACAGTTTCACAGAGTTTGACTGAGACTATGCTCGATGTCCTCAAGCTTTGATTCAGTGCTTTCCCATGGGTAAGGCCTAATGTGGACGCAGCTCTGGCTGCACGTTCGCATTAGGACCCTTCCCTCCCCCCAATCGGCTGACATCAGCACAGGAATCAGGTAAGTGACTGAAAAGGTTGTTTTTTTTAACCCCTTTCATGGACCAGGGGGTGGGAGCAGAGGGACATTTTGGTGTTGGTAATACAACAATGTATTCCCAACACTAAAGGGTTCCTTTAAAGCAGGCTTCCCCAAACTCTGACCCTCCAGATGTTGCTGAACTACAACTCCCATGATTCTCAGCTCATTTCATTCATAGAATCAGGAGAGTTGTAGTTCAGTAGCATCTGGAGGGCTGGAGTTTAGGGAAGCCTGCTTTAAAGGTTTACTTCAAGCATCATAGCCACTACAGAACCCTGCCTAAGTTCCCCAGTAATGGAGCAATCTGTTCTGTAACAGTTTGCCTTTTTACCTGGGCAGGTGCTGAAATTCCCTCCATGTCTGGTGATTAGCTTGTGAGTTCCGCTGACCACTCTCAGACAATTTATAACACACTGCACAAGGAATTTTCCATAAAATTCACATTAGCCAGGCCAGACCACCTACGAGCAGAGGTGCTTCCTAGTTCAGTGCTGCATAGGGTGTAGCATCTAGATTAAGCGCTTTAACACACTTTATGGAGGCACTGAACGATCCCCACAGAGATGCATTGATTGAATGCATCTTTATGAGATGCTGCAGCATGGCAAATTGCAGCGCATGCACAATAGCCAGGAATAGAAGTTTCCTTTTTTTAAGGACCCTTTTCTTACGATCACAGGTAGTATGAGTGTTTGACTGAACAACGTAGCAAGTGAATGTACGCCACAGAAGGAGCCTGCACATTTCAGACCGTGATGGGGACAAAAGGACATCTCAAAATGTATTCTCCCACACCCCACAATACCAAGCAAATTTTGTTTTAAACTTTAGTTAAAATAAAGTTGTGTGTTTATTTTTTTAGACTACTATACTACCACCATTAGATAGCTCTCAAATATATAAGTGTGTGTAACAGGAGAAAAGAAGAATGCACATCAGGTCAATTGAAACAAGTCTTCTGAACAGGTGAGTATTTAATAAGCCACCTTGGTATTATCACTGGCATATTTTAAAACCCTAGTTTTTAACTGCTAAAATAAAAAAATAAAAAACAGCCAATTATCTAACATTCAAATCTACAATTTCCTAGGATATAAGATCATAATACTTACTAGATTTCACCAGTGACACAAATGACAAAGCTCCAACTAGAGAGAATAACGGGTAATGAATCAACACATTTAAGAAAGTTACTTACTGCTTTCATTGTGGATCACTAGAAAATGTGTAAGTACATTTTTAGGTTGCCTGACACCAGGGACATGCAGTCCCGGTCGGTCACAATTTAAAAAAAATTAAATTAAAAAAAAATGCCACAGACAAACTGCAAGGCTGCCTTGGAGGTGTTTGTGCCATGGCTGTTAAAGTGTTGTCTCTACCTTCAGCATGTGCAGACCTTAGTAAATCGCCTTCTCGCTGTCAGTTGCTCTCTAGATAATCTGAGCGCACACCAGTATTGCCAGCATGCACTTTTGACTCGCTGAATGATGGGAATCATTTTAGCTGTTGTGTGTGCATTAAACACAGCCAAGTCCACATATACAACCAACAGCTACGTGTGCGGCCAACATCTCTACGACTAGCACATTTACAGGTATTACATACAGCCAGCATGCACATTACACATAGCCAATACATACACACACTAATGTAGTTGTTCTGGTGAGTATAATAGTTCCCTTCAGGATTTTTTCCCCCCCCATGTAAAACACTGCCTTTTCTGTGAAAAGGGACACCTCCAAATGACCACTCCGTAGATGGCCACTGGAGGTGCTTCCTGGGTCAGTGCTGCCAAAAAGGAAGAACTGACGTTCAGCGTCCCCGCGCTCTGCATGGAGACGCTGAATTTTCCTCATAGAGATGCATTGCTTCAAATCTCTATGAGGAGATCCTGATTGGCCAAAACAGCACTTAGCCCTGCCCCTGTGCAGATTTTAGCCAATCCAATGCTTTTTTTTTTTTTTTTAATGCCAATAAAGTTTACCCACAAATCATCAGTAAAATGAATCCCACAAGAGAGCAAAACAGCAGGCATCATGACAAAGGAGAACAAAATAGTTGTGCCCAAATACTGACACCCAACACAAGGAATAAAATAAATATGAATATAGGCAAATGGCAATAAGACGAGCTTAATCATAAAGCTACAGGGATATAAGAAAAAAAAAAAAAAATGCTTTAACGCTGCAGAATGTTGTGAAACCAGAGCTATAAACAAACCATTTGCAACGTTTCAATTATCTGGCCAACTTTGATGACTATTTAACATGACTTCAAATAGGCCTTAAAAAGATGTTTGTTAATGTATATTAATAAATGTAATCTTACTTCATGCAATTCTGTTTTTTGTGGGGGGTGATTTGCCATATTTTGCTTTTGCAGAGAAAGCAGTCCCCCCGCACAAGGTGACATGACTGACTGCACAGTGGCTTCAGATGGAAAGGGAGCTATACTTACCCGACATTCTGCACAGCCAGTTACAACTTAGATTATGTCCCATCACTGCTATACACATGCATGCGCAAATTCAAAACTGGGCTGTATGTATTAACAGCAAGTCCCTCCATAGAACTAGCACATGCGCAATAAGAAACCATAGACATCTACTGTGCATCATGTGAAAAATATCTGTACTCCGCCATCAACAATCTCAATGGCCACTGGACATAGATTAACTACATTCATCATTCCAATGCTATAGAAAGCAGACATCTTTCTAACAGACCTCAAAAGTCACATGCACAGAGTAATGAATAATTTAAATACTTATTAATGCTTTCAAAATTCAAAGTAAAAAATAAAAAAAAAAGAAACATGATGATAGTCAAAGCAGATCCGGCACGAATTGTCACCTAGAAAAGGAAGCTATTTTCAGTGACCTTATTTTAGCTGGTTTACATATGTATATGCATATCAAAAGGAGACACCCAACTTATTTTCCGTTACACACAGGTGAGTCAGTCATGTTGATTGACTTTCATGAACTTTAGCAATGTGCTTAAAAAGGTTTAGGATCTTAAAGGGACCGCAGAACCATTACAGCTTAATATAGTGGTTCTGGTGTCTATAGCATGTTCCTGCAGCCTTGGCACTAGAGAAGGCAGTGTTCATATCGCTGACTTGTTACATTTCTAGTGGACTTCATTCAGATAGCCACTAGAGGTGCTTCCTGTGTCAATGCTGCACAGTAAAAATCACCTGTAATCCCCATAGAGAGTGGGGCCAAGGACCAAATGCTGCATTAGAGCACTAGTGTCAGGAATACATGTTCGTTTTCCTGCCACTATAGTGTTCCTTTAAGGAAGAGATATTGTTACTCAGTTATGCCACAGGCCTAATCACAGAATTACAAAATCTCTCTTGTAAAACTTTCTGAATGACAAGCCACTCACATGCACTAGTCGATACCAAAGATCATTACTAGGTCAAATGCCTGACATTCCATAATATGATAAACAACACAGTATATCCATAATTACTTGCAGTTTTATTTATGAATAGTATACCATAAACATTTTGAAACATTATGAGCCATATAGCTTGTTCCTCCGCTTCCTGTAGATATTTTGCAGTATTGCCAGACAGTAAATAGTTAAGCTTTATAAAAAGGTTCTTTAGTTTCTACTTCAAGTAAAGCTTAGGCATACTAAAAAAAATAAAATAAAAACATGAAGTGTTAAGAATGCCCTTACGCAATATTGATCTGCACTAAATACTTTTATTTGAGTTCTGACCCAATATGAAGATGGGTATAAGAGGAATCACCCTATCACTTATACACCCCCATTTTACCAATGGCTTCTAAAACCATATGCATTACACAAGTTAGCAGAATAATCACTTTTATGCACGTCACTGCATTTGCACTTCATCTACAATCTAACTAAATGTGTAACCCCTACATACATCTGACGTGTAAAAAAAAAAAAAAACCATTAAATTAAAACATCTTTTCAGATCATGTTGGCACAAGGTTTTTAAGAATACTGGCCATGAACACAGGTGTAATGTAAAACAAAAATAACATAGGCCACAAGCTTGGCAGATGTTGCATATTATACATAAATCCACTATAGACTAAAGGAGTTCACTGAGTAACTGAATTTATAAAGCAGAAGAGAACAACCATTTCTCCTGCCTTTCAGCACATTTAAGAACCTCATATTCAAGTATGTCATTCAGTGTACAAGCTATAATGTAAGTTCCTGGAAAAGAAATGCATTTATAGCACTGACACATGGTAAATTCATCATACCTGTCATCATCACCATCAACCGGAATAGGTAAGCCAAATACAGGTAAATGGAGTGGGTTTGTTAGACTGTCTGTGATAGGAACCTTCACAAAAGACTTCTCAGAAATTAGGGATATTGGCGGCTGAGGTAGGGGTTCCGATTTTCTTCTATCATCAATTTGACCAGTCAATGGCTGTGACTGAAATGGATTAATGTTCGACTGTGGCAGACTATTGTGCACATTTGCTGTGCCTTGCATTGTTGGAAGACCAACAGCTGTGACTAGGCTATTACTCCTGACAGACGTATGGCTGCTTATCTGAGACTGTACAATAGTAGTTGGAGCAGTTGGCATAGTAACAGGAGTGGCAGACACACTGGGTACACTACTGACACCTGTACCAGGTGCCGCCACAGACACATTCTGCATTCCAGAAGGCAAGACACTGTGTCCACCTGGAATACCTGAAACATGACTAACCCCACTCACTTGTGGAGTTATAGTTTTCTGTTGCATGACTCCAAAGGATGCCATATTTGACTGTGCCACACCTCCTTGTTGCTGTATATGGACAGGATGGCTCGGTGGGGTTTGTCCACTTTGTAGGAGCCCTAACCCTTGGCTCAGTGAGTCACTGGGTTTGGAAAGAAGACCCATAAGTTGTGCTCCACCTGCTTGAAGGTGCTGCTGCTGTCCTGGAAGACTAGATGGAGCCCCAGTACTTGTAGTAACCGAGGTCGTGGTGGCTTTTTGAGTTGTTCCTTGTGATTGTATAACTGTTATATGTTGCACATACTCTGTCTGGCCAGAGGCCTGGGTGGACATAAGTCCAGATTGGACTTGGGCCTGGGGGTATGCAAAAGGTTGTGCCTGACTCACAGAAGCACTAGTCTGCTGTTGTGTATTAGACACTGGGGGGTGGACAAGGGTTACATTCTGAGCTGCTGTGCCTTTCCCATTATGTCCAATGCTGGGTGCAGTTCCATGGGATGGGGTCTGCTGGCCCAACATGTGCTGACTGGTGAGTGCAGCAGGCGAAGGATACATGGGCTGAGCACCCCCCTGAGACACCGCTCCGCCTATGCTTTGCTGCCCAATGATGAAATGCTGCTGCGGGGAGGGCTGGTTCACCTTGTCGGTGTGCAGTAGCTGTGACACAGCAGTAAGCGAGCTGTCAGCCAGGGACTCGGGACCATGAGCCATGTGCAGGGCAGAGGCCACCACCGAGCCCCCCGTGGCCCCCAGCCCACTGTCCCTGTCAGCAGCCGGGTGCTCGAAGGTGCTGCCGTGCCGGATGGAGTCCCCAGCCCTGGAGAGGATGGAGCTGTCCGAGTCCCGGTCGTAGTAGTCCGTGCAGGTCCACCGCCCCCTGCGGTAGGGCTCCCCGGAGCCGTGGTCCAGCTTGATCACCCTGAAGCGGGAGCTGCAGGTGGCCGTGCCGCTGGCGGTGGACGGAGAGTTGGCCGGGGCCCCCGCGGTGGGCGCGCTGGGCGCGGCGGGCAGCACATGGCCGATGTGGGCATGGCCCCCGGGGGTGCTGGGCATGCCGCCCCTGGCTGCCGTCACGGGGCCCGGCTCCTGGGGCAGGTTGGGTGACATGGTGCCGGGGGTGTCGGCCTCCCCCACGTTGCTCAGGGTCTCCTCGGACGAGCTCCGCTCCACCACGTCCTCAGGCCCCCCGTAGTCCGTGGCCCGAGACACGTCGAAGATCTCCGAGGACACATCCTCCGTCCGCGACTCGTCCGGGTCCTCCAGGCTCTCCGTGTCCTCCGCCAGGCTGTTGGCGGCCTGGGCCGTGGTGACGCTGGTGATCTGGAAGCAGCTCTTCTTCTTGGCCGGCATCTTGGACATGGTGCAGGGGGGCGATCCCCCGCGGGGGGAGGCTGGGGCGGACAGGCCGGGGATTCCCCCTTCCCTCCCGGACACTGACACGGAGAGAGACCCGCTCACACACGGGACCTAGCGCAGCGCGCACATCCTCTCCGGGGCTCACTGCAGGCGGCCTCCTCTCTCAGGACAGCCCGGGGATGGCACAGGCCGCTGCCGGTCTCTGTGGCTGGCGGCCGGGGAGGAGAGCTGTCTGGGTCCGCGTCTCTCACACCTCCCCAGCAGCAGCGCGCTCAGAGGAAGTGACAGACCGTACGGACACTGCAAAGTACAACCGACAAATGACTGTTACTGGCCGCCCCACCCCCTGCGCTCTCACGGCTCCTCCCACCCCGCACTCAGGCCACGCCCCTCTTCGTTCCACTCACACTGAAATTCAAACCGCTTGCCTTACCCTCCCTTTTCCAATATGGCCGCCGGAGGATTAAAAAAAAAAAGGCTATTGGCTGACAGCGGTGACGTAAAGGGGGCGTTTAGGGCGGGTTTTTTGCAGTGAACGGGCAAGAAGAGGAAGGGGGTTCCTTGTGATAGGTGGGTGAAACCAACTCCTCGGGCGGTGTAGGTGGCGGGGGAGGAGGAGGGGTGTGTGTGTGTGTGTGTGATGGTACAGTCCTGGGCTGCGGCTTTGTTTCTGACAGGCTCGTGGAGGTGAAGTTAGTGTGCGGTCACTGTGCTGGGACAGTGTGCTGGGACAGTGACCTCATGGCTGCCGGCCTGGCGCCTCCAATGGAGTGAGCTCCGAGCCCCCATACTGAGTTAATCTATACAACATCTATACAACATAAAGACATGGAATATCTATATATATATATCTAGACAAAAAGTTGGAAAAGTAAATAAAAATAGTGTTTAATTTTTATGTATATATCATTTTTTTAAATTACAGATGTGTGTATTTTATATATATATATATATATATATATATATATATATATATATATATATATATAAAATAATTTATTTTTTAATTATATTTTATTTTTATATTATATATTTGTAAATATATATCATATTTTATTTTTTCATTATATGTATATATATATTTTTATATGATATATTTGTGTATATAAATATCATATTTTATTTTTTCATTACATATATATTATTTTTGTTTTGTTTTGTTAGAAATTAGTTTGCTACACAAACCCTACATTATTACTTTACACAACACAGTCCCCCCTCTAATAATATTGGATTCTGTTGGCGCCATATAAATCATAATAATAATAATACAGGGCATGATCGCTTTTTTTGATGAAATCAGGTTTTGGGAGCTGTTCGTTTCTACAACAGAAAGTTGACTTTAGAACTAACATTCATTTTATTTATTCATTAAAGTGAGTAATTCAAAGTGAATTTCAAATTTAAGAACTAAATAACTGAACTGGAAAAAAATATCTAATTCAGGTATGCTTTCAATCCTGTTGCTTTGACCTTAAATTAGAAATTCTATTGGAATGCTCACTTTAGTGAAAAACCCTGTAAAACTCCCCCCAAAAAACCTTCTCTATGCTCACGTACAACAGGGATTAGCAGTGGTGATGTCCCTAACGGTTTGCGAACGGTTCGCCACGGACTCATCATTGAGTAAACTTTGACCCTGTACCTCACAGTCAGCAGACACATTCCAGCCAATCAGCAGCAGACCCTCCCTCCCAGACAGCATCCATTGTGAAGCTGCATTCTTAGTGAGCTGTCCAGGAGGTGGGAGTGTCTGGGAGGGAGGGTCTGCTGCTGATTGGCTGGAATGTGTCTGCTGACTGTGAGGTACAGGGTCAAAGTTTACTCAATGATGAGTCCGCGGCGAACCGTTCGACGAACCGTTCGGGATATCACTTATTAGCAGTAGTAAAGCAAGTAGTGTAATTGTCTGGGTCACTTGCTGGTGTAGTGAGAGCTGCCTGTGGGAAAGTTATACAGGCTGGGAATGTGTCTCTCAGCATGTCCCATGTCAGTACCTATTTATTTATTTATTTATTATAGTTTTTTTCCATATACCATATATACTCGAGTATAAGTCGACCCGAATATAAGTTGAGACCCCTAATTTTACCCCCCAAAACTGGGAAACTTATTGACTCGAGTATAAGACTAGGGTGGGAAATGCAGCAGCTACTGGTACATTTCTAAATAAAATTAGATCCCCCAAAAATTATATTAATTGAATATTGTGAATATTGAATGCAGTGTGTGTATATGAGTGCAGAGTGTGTATATGATTGGAGTGTGTGTGTGTATGAGTGCAGTGTGTGTATGTGATGCAGAGCCTTGGTGGGGGATGGGCATTTTTAATTATTTTTTAAAATTATTATTATTTTTTATATTATATTATTATTATTATTATTTATATTATTATTATATTTTTTCGTCCCCCCTCCCTGCTTGTTAGCTGGCCAGGGAGGGGGGCTCTCATTCCCTGGTGGTCCAGTGGATGGGCTGTGTAGGAGGGGGGCTAACAGAGAGCTGTAACTTACCTTTCCTGCAGCTCCTGTCATCTCCCTTCTCTCTCTGTTCCGGTCAGCTCCCTTCTCCTCCACTGTAAGTCTTGCGGTCTGACTGCCGCGTGGCACGTTGCCACGGTAACGCGTGGCAACGCTCTGACCCCGCGGCTCTCGCGAGACTTACAGTGGAGGAAGAGGTTGCTGACCGGAACGGAGGAGAGAGAAGGGAGCTGACAGGAGCTGCAGGAAAGGTAAGTTACAGCTCTCTGTTAGCCACCAACAGGACCGCCGGGCTTGTAATGAGCCCGTCGGTCCTTGTCTGTATTATGGCAATGTAAGTTGCCATAATACAGACTCTGACTTGAGTATAAGTCGAGTGGGGGTTTTTCAGCACAAAAATGTGCTGAAAAAATCGACTTATACTCGAGTATATACGGTAATATTACACTAAAAGAAAAATAGAAAGAGTTGCCTCCATCATCGAGTGCTTTTTTTTTTTCATTCTTTGATAAAGAATATATATATTTTTTTATGGTCTAAGAACTAATAAAAATTTACTTTTTAATATAAATATAATTCTCTGAGTGCATACTTAAATTGTGTGTGATGTGCATGCTAATGGGGACAGGAAATAGTTTCATGCTTTAAAGAATTACTTTCTTCCTGAAACTCAGTAGGGAAGGCGTATTGATTGTACCCGGTGGTATGTTCTTAGACTACACTGTTACACATTTTTATCACATTAAGGAGGCGCTCAGTAGCGAGACGTGGAAAATTGTGAATTTCTAAGAAGTTTGATAATCCTTTTTCAGATACAATGGGCAGAAAAGGGGAATTTGCTTTCATTATCAACTTTCTCAGAACCTATAATACCCTGTATAAATGGGCTTTTACAGAAACACTGGTGATAATCCACAGTGGCTTCGCTAATAAAAGTGTGAAGAAGAGATCCCCTGACCTTTATAGTGCTCTCAGATAACAGTGAATTCCCAGATTGGTTGTTGCTTTTATATTCACATTGATGGTTTTAACTGCACTCCTTCATACAGCAGATGTTACCATGTGTGGGTGTTTTATTTTTTTCTTGTGTTTGGCTTTTCCAGAAATTCTTCAAGGGACACACTGGGCACTGTAATAACTTCAGCTCATTAAATCGGATATGGTGCCTGTAGTCTCCTGAACACCATCTATTGTTTAACAGTGATTCAGTATAACCTGGCACCCACTGACAAGGAGTTGTGTTCTGCCTTCGCTACACCAAATCGTTCCAGTAATAGTAGGCAGTGTTAGGCCGAGACCATCAGCTGATCACTGCCCACTATGATTAACGTGAATCATGTCTCACATGGCAAGTGCACTTTAGGTGACCGTAATTGTTTGTGGGGTGTAGTCATATCAGCAGCTCAGATCACAATGATGAGCTGAGCTGAATATGTATTCTGTGTACATCTAATATGAAAGTTGTTTTCTAAAAGTAGACGAGCATCGCTAAGGGGCCATATTCACATTGCAGACAGCTGCAAATAAAACATAAAAATATATAAATATATATATTTAGCAAAAAAAGATTTAAAAAGTGGAAAAAGATACGGCATAAATATGAGGCGAAAAACTATTAAAAACATTTAAGTTGTGTTGGTGCTTCAAGTGTACCTTTAATTCACTTGCATAGAAATGTGGCAAAAAGTTTTGGATGGAAACTGTGATGAGTCTTGCTCACAAGGACCTGACAGAAATTTTCCTCTAAGACTGCCCACCAGGAGGGGATAACTAGCTTTTCAGGAACATTAGAGTTGAACTAGTGGAGTAGTAGTGGATCATGGTTATCATTTGCCAGCGTGCAAAACCTCTTTTTGGGACTATAACCAGTTCAATGGACTAAATATTGCTTCAGGAGAAAAGCATGGAAGACTTTGAAAATGTGAAGATTACAGTTTAAGATTAACCCAGCAGAAAATTTTAAACAATTCAATGAGCCAGCTTCAAGGAGAGGACATGAAGGCGTATGTTCTGAGGGAAACCACCATACCCTCTCCCTAACCTGAAAGAAGGTGCTGGGCTGCGATAGCTGCTGGCCTGCATAAGCCCTCAAAGATGGTTTGAACCTGGTGCCTGCAGTTCTGCTAGGTGTAAATCTATGATTTAGGCTACAGCTGACGCATTGCTATTAGCTTTCTGGGTGATATAATAAATGCATAGTTTTAATTTTCAGATGGGCCTGCTCCATTCTTTGGGGCAAGGTGTTAAAATAAGGCTGTAATTTCCTGGTTTGAGAATGTGGCTAATGGGTGGTTGTGAACGTATTAAACGGGCTGTGGCAAAAGACACAATAACAGACTCTGCTTAAGAATTAGCTCCAAAATGTTTTTGTACACACTCAGCATATTCCCAGTTATATACATTTATTTCATTCCTTTGCCATGGCTACTAACCGGGGAAATTTCTCCAAACATAGACAAGTGCACCAGAGCAGGGAATCCCTTAACTCCTCACTTACTGACCAATTCGTTCTACGACCGGGTCATAGGAAGGGAACCCGATCGGTAAGTGAGGAGTACCTGTAGCAGTTTTACTCTGCTTTTTCGGAGATCCTCTAGTGGCTGTGGGAAAGACATCCACTAGAGGCATTTAAACCCTTCAATGTAAACATTGCCCTTCTTTCAGTTGTAGGGTTAAAACAAGGGGGACATGGTTACATTAAGCAAACTGGAAATTATGTGGCTGGATTATTTAAATTCCTTCAAAATAAGTTTCTACCATAAGCGCTCGACATGTTATTGTGGCGGGACCGCTGCCTGTCCGTAAATTGCCGGTGTTATACTATGTGTGTTCCCCTAGTTTTTGTGTAATGTGTCCACTCCCTGTTCGGGAGGCCTTCCCCGAAGGAAATTCCTTCATTTCCCGAATGGGGACCACCCTAATACCTCATTTAGAATGTTGGGTTAGAACGTTCGCACCTAGCAACAAGGTGTCAAACCACAAACTGCAAGGGAAGCCTCAGAGCTTGCCTCCCCTGGGCGCCCTTTCATATAGACGAACGCCATCCAGGGGGAGCATTCGCGGACTGCGTCCCACCCCGTTCGGTTCCCGAACGAGGACTCCCCCCAGTGCCCACTGGAGTGAATCAATTAGAACATTCACCACTCGCAACATAAGTGTGAAACCGCAAGGGAAGTAATTAATAAGTGTTCCTCTGGGTGGCCGCCGTTCGTATAGACGAGCGCCAACCAGGGGGAGCATTCGTATCCCGAAAGGAGACGTTTCCCTTGCCTGGTTTAACACAGGGACCTTTTCAAAGTAAGCACTGTTGTGGGGGTCCCTGGAGATTGGTGTGGGCACCCTTTTGAGACAATGGCCGGTTTGGCGGTCTATCTGTACCTGGGAAACAAAGAGGCAGGAGGGTTTTCCGCGCTGTGATTGCCAGGTACAGAGGCTCATGGGAAGAAGGCCCTGAGTGCCTGGGAGACAAAGGGACAATGACCCCCCACTCCCGCGCTTTCACTCCCAGGCATGGAGGACCCTGGAAAGGAGAACCCCTGTCAAAGGAAATGGGAATCCCTGTGTTTGGGTGGTGGGAACAGGGGACAAAGAGGCTGGAGTTCCGGTTCTGCTCCAAGACCCCTGGGAGGGGATATTGTCGTTGTGTGGTGTACTCCCCTTGCATGGGGTTTTGCATAAAAGCAGAGTGTGGCAAATAGTGTTTTTGTACCCCCAGGACCTTGTGTCCTCCGGTTACTAGGAGGGAAATAGGTATCTGTATACTTTACACAGTTCTATTCAAGATGAAGGACGTGGTTTAGCGAAGTCAAACGACCTAGTAGCCTCAGGCCCGCTACAGTTCTAATTCATTGTTACCTAGTAGTGGCACAACTCATAGATTTTTGCCCCCAATTCTTTTCCTTTATACCTGAGACATGATGATAGCTTGTGAGCCTTTTTGGGTCTAGTCAGCGTATGGAAAAATGATCATAAATTCATAGAACATGTCTTACTGCTGCTCAGAGTCTATAAGCAAATCTGGTATCTTTACCTAGTAAATCCCAATACAATGTCTGTCTGTTTCAAAGGTTGATGAACCTCCTCGGCCATTGTTCTTCTCATCATATTTTTTTTTTTTCATCTGGTTCCAATTTTGGGGGATCTATATGGTACTAGTTTTTTTTTATGGAACAAATTAATAACACTCACGTGTACTTAAAGCAATGATTGACAGTGATTGAAGGTGGAAGATAGAGCTACATACAGAAATGTGAATTTCTAAATTTGATTTTATGTCAGACTTCACACAAAATACCTGTTAGGAGCGTGGCCAACCACGAGACTGAAAAGACGCGTTTCTGTGGAGCTCCGCTTCACCCAGAGAATTAAACCCAAAACCCATTGAAAGAAACAACCAAAGCGGACCACCCACAACCTCACCCCAACAGCGATAACATGGGGCACAAACACCGCAAACCTCAGGGGCCAGGCACCTCCAATACCAAAGATATAAGGCTGGCATTTGAGCAGCCTACACCACCGGCGCCCCTCAAAATTGTGCCTGTGGAGACCCGCCAAGATGAGATCTCGAAGGAATCCCTGGAGGAAGAGGGAAAAGAACTTACATCCCTGAGAAAAGGCGACTCGGACGGGGCAGATGACTCTGAGGATGACTTGGCTCCAGCAACCAGAGGAGATATAAAGCAAATGCTCCTGGACATGCGCCAAACATGGAAGTCGAATCTCCAGGAAATCTGATGAGACATGGGGGACATGCAGACAAAGCTCAAAGAAGTTGAGGGGAGAGACACAGCGAGGAAATCCCGGCTGCAAACCACCGAGACCAGTGTCAGCACTCTCACGCTGCAGGTTCAGAAACTGACCCACACAGTAGCATCTCTGAAGACCCGACATAGACGCTGTAACATACGCCTGCGGGGTATACCCGAAGAGGTGAAGGGGGAACAGCTGCTATCCTACTCCCGCCGGCTACTGACAGCTATAGGCCTCGCAGGGGAAGCAGACCCCGGTATGGTACTCACTGTCTTCAGAGTGAGGAAGGCGGTGACGGCTCTGGAAGCAGCCCTGAGAGACGCCATACTAGTAACCAGGGACACTGCTGTCAGAACAGCGATTATGGCCCGCTCCAGAGAGCTGGGGAACGCGGAACTGGACGGAGCCGCCATCTCATTCTTCAACGACATTCCCTTCACCGCACTGCTGGAAAGAAGAAAACTGGCTCCAATAGCCAAACTATTAAGAGATAAATCGATGCGGTACCGCTGGGGAGCAGACGGAGCATTGATTGTGACAAAAGGAGAAAAGACCGCCATACTCACCTCAGCAGATGATCCTGAGACGTTACTCTAGAGCCTAGAAAAAGAAGACACACCGACCAAAGTGAGCATGAGTAGCATCGGAGAGGAGAAGCGGAGCACTGGGGAAGGCAAACCGCGGACCGGGACCAAGATACACAGACTGGGAGTCCGCAAACTGTGAACGCTGGTAAACCACACTCTAACACAACTCAGAGGCACAAGACAACTAAGATACAAGTAAACTTACCAGCACTGCAGCAATACCCCAGTTCGAAGCCCACACACACACCCACATACTAGTTTATCACGAGGCCACACAGTGAGACATACATGTCCAGGACACAGCCTGAGGAAAAGCGAATACCGACAACAGACACCCACTGAACTAACGCCTTACTCTAGCTGACACAGGATGCACAGACATAGAGCCTACATAAATGCCAGTTCGGCTATTTGCAATATATTTGATCCCATGTTACTTGAAATATGTCTTATCCACTGCTGTTATTTTGTTAACTTGAAAAAACAATACTCTGATGTGAATATCTGCTACTTTGCATGAAATTCAATAAAAAATACAAATGTAAACATTTAAAAAAAAATAAATCTGTTAAATATAGGAGGTAAACATGATATTATATATGTCAAATATCGGGGAGGTGGCATTTCCCCCTTTAACCCCTTAAGGACCAAACTTCTGGAATAAAAGGGAATCATGACATGTCACACATGTCATGTGTCCTTAAGGGGTTAAGGTAAAACTAGCTATCTTACTTTAAATAAATGCATCGATTTATCTAATTAAAAAAAACAAGCAAAAAACTTGAAGCTTCTGGAAGTGACCGTTCCCCATTCAGTGCAAGTGACTTTTGACATGTCTGCAAATATCTCTTGAAATGTACTATTCATAGACAGTTATGACAGTCATGCTTGATATGTCACTAACATTTCATGCACATGACATTATTTGCCAATATTATGATGGGCCTCTTAGCAAGGTCGACATTACAGGGGTCCCAGGGGCATCTTTGGACCCAGGTGGCAATTGTAAGGGTGTTACATTTTGCCACGTGCTGAGCCCCCGGTGCCAACTCTCCCACCTGCCAAGAATAATAATCAGAATATGGGACTGGAGGGGCCAGGATCGGACTTACTTCTTTATTAGTGCACATGGAGATTCTGGTACTATTATGAAGAGCTTTATAGATAACCACTAGGATTTTAAGTTCAACCCTAAAATTTATAGGAGCCAATGTAAGGAAAAGAGATGGGCCATGTGAGGTCTGGAAGATGGGGCTTTTAGTGTAAGGGTGCAATCTGAGCATGACTGAAATCAATAAAGAACGTCAAGTTTGAAGGCACCACTTGCCTGTTAAATGTTTCGTTACACGGGGTCTATGTGTGTTTTGGGAAAATAAACAGTCTTTTCTTAGTTAACCTTCCACTGGGACCTGTGGACCTCAAGCACATTGGAGTTGAAAATACGTTATTGTAAAGTTTTGTTCAGCTTTTTCAGTACCATGGGAAGAACTATTCATTGCAAATCAGTGAATTCCTGTTCTCTACATTGAAAGGGTTAGTGTAGTTTGTGTTTACATTGCACATGCAATTCATGTATGGAGCTTTAGTGTTTTGCTACATGCCACAATGTTGTTTTATGGATATTGAGAATAATAGATGTGCAGAAATTAAAGGTGGTATTAGAGTACCCTAGTGTGCTAGCTATAACCACAGGCGATGAAGAGGCAAAAGGGTTGTGTTATCCCATTGATTGCATTGGTGTAAATTCTAGTAGGGGTATAAATATATGTGTGTATATATATATATATATATGTATATATATATATATATATACACACACACACACACACACACACACACACACATTTTTATACATATATACCTTAAATTTAAAATTGTTACCTTGTTGAATTGTTGGATAAGCCTTTTTCCAACTACCAGCAGTGTTTGCACGTATATACTTCATGCTAATGGGGGACCTAGCCAGTGGCGGCTGGTGAGGGTTTAAGATAATGGGGTGTGTAACGTATCAACGGGCACCCTGAGTGGGTACCTTCGTTGATGGATGCTCCTAGCGCTTCCTGAGGGCTCCAAGCACTCCAGCTGACACCTTAACCACCGTAGACTCCTCCAGAGAGCAAGGCAGGAACAAGCTCTTACAAGAGCTTAGTAGTGATTTAGCAAGGGAGTATGACAAGCATAGCAATCCCTTGTAGCAGATTCCCCCAATAAGATACAGGAATCAGATTGAGGGTGAAGAAGAACTATTTTTAATCAGCACCAAAGTGCTTTCTTTTATGCAAGTTTTCAGGCCAGAGGCACACCCCTAGGACCTGGTGGTAAACTGTGACAAAAGGGACACAAACCAATGGGAACACTAATTAACAAAATATCATTCCCACATACACAGTAGAAATCCTCCCCTCTGCCTGTGATATAATTACTGAACACAATGGGCTAAAGTAATTATCATAGGCAGGAAAATACAGTTTTACCCAATATTCATAACTCTGAAAGTATACCTCACATTCACATAAAATCCGCATACTCCAAATACAAACATATGTCAAAATCGTACAAATTGGTCCAGTGGGTCAAATGTTAGTTAGAAGTCCCTTTTTGCCCAACTGCAAGTGTGGCTTGGGTGTGGTAAGCCAATTATCTCCAGCATACAGAAATATCAGTAAAAAACACATAAAAATACATAATTCCTATCATACTGAACAGAACCCCCACATTCAACCTATCCCCAGATAGCTTGGATCTGAGCGCTCACTATATCCGAACAGCGCTCAGATCCCACGAACACAGTCAAATCGCCATGGGGTTAAATCATAGCAAGGGCTGATGAGAGACAGAGGAAGGGCAAAACAGCAAGTTCCAACTGTTCTGGCAGTGTCCCTGGGACAACACCTTCCCATGTATTCAAAGGGGCAGAAACAGTGTTTCCCTGGGACAACGCCCTGCTGGAGAACAAAAGACAGGAAGCAGGGGAGGGGCACACCTTCCCATGTATTCAAAGGGGCAGAAAAAGTGTTTCAAAATCCAATAATCCCAAATAAGTTTCTTAAAGGGCAGAATACATTTCAGGGGCCATAGTCACAGGGCAGGAGGCTGGCAATCAGTCTTCTCCAATGCCCAGTGGCGAGGCTTGTTCCGCCACAGGGTGCCAGACTGTTACCCCCAGAATTTTACTCCTCTCTATACAGTATATAGATACTCATACAATACAGAGATCTGAGCATAATACAGAGATGCTCATACAATAAAACAAGCTGGGCACAACAGAGAAAAGACAGAGTCAAGAACGAGCCGAGGTCAAGGGAACAGAGAGACAGCGAAAACAAAAACTAGCCAAGGACTGGTGCACAGGAGTCAGGAAACCCGGCGAACAAGACAAAGCAGGGATAAAAAGAAAAACGGAGTCAGGTACAAAGCCAAGGTCAAGCACGAAAAAACCACTACTAGACGAAGCAAGCACTAAAGGGGACTGAATCAAAAACCACGATAGGGCAGGGAGCTAAGGGAAAGGTGAGTATAAATACCTTAGTGTTTAATTTGATTGGCCCCTGTCATATCCACGCCCCCAAAATGTAAGTGTATGGGGAATGTGGAATGACATGAGCCAATGGGAGACCGTTTTGCATTTCGGCTCCCACTGTCCCTTTAAAAGCGCGCCCGATACGCGCAGTGCGCTCCCAGTGCCAGGTGAGTCACGTGGCTGCGTCTCGCGGTCAGTGCACGCCTTCTGGATCTCCCCGTCGGACGAGCCGTATGCGGCTCGCTCAGATGCAGGACCGCACGCGGCTGGGAAAGAGGACCTCGTCCGGCTCCCGGAGAGGGTAAGTACCGCTACACATATGCTTTACAGCCGAACACTTTGATATGTCCTATACTGGATTTTGATCCATTCCACATTTGGTATGGGGTACTTTCAATTGTTTTTGATGGTAGCCTGTTCTGTAGGTATGTTGCAGTCATTATTGCTTCTCCCCAGTACTAGTTAGGTTAGTTGGCATCTGAAAGCATGCATCTGGCCATTTCTGTGAGAGTGCGGTTTTTCCTTTCTGTTACACCATTTTGATCGGCAGTGTATGGTACAGTTGTTTGGTGTATAATACCTTGTTTCTTTAGATATGATTCCACTTCCTTTCCCATATATTTCTCTCCATTGTCAGTGCGTATTATTCCTGGTTTCCGTTGAAATTTGTTGCTAGTCATAGCTACAAATTCTTGAAGTCTCTCTGATGTCTCGCTTTTGTGCTTCAGCAGATATGTCGTTGTGTATCTAGAATAAACGTCAATGAAGGTCAGTAAATACCTGTTCCCGCTAGGTGTGGGGGTTTTCATTTGTCCACACATGTCACTGTGTATACGTTCCATGGACTGAGTCATCTTTCTTTGACTGGTCTGTGGAAGTGGTGTACATGTGGCATTTGCTTTGATACAACATGTGCACTGAGCATGTGGCAAGGCAAAATTGTCATACCTTCTGATAGACCTATCTTTGCAAAATCCTTTATGGCTTCTGGGTTTCGATGCCGCAATCTTCTGTGCCACAGGTGGATACACTTGTCGTGTACATTATGAGTTGTTGCTCTGGCTTGTTCGCTTGCAGTGATGAGTTTGTACAGGTGTTCATTCAACCTTCCTTTTGCTAGGATTTGTTTTCTGTTTTGAATTGTGCATTCATTGCCTCAGAAGTGAACTGTGAGTCAATTTTTAGCAAGGGTTTTCACTGATAGAAGACTTCCTTCTAGGCTTGGAACATACAGAACATTCTTTACAAGGATGCTTTGCTTACCCCCTGACGGTGTGATGCATTTCAGGAAACCTTGACCGTTACCTTCCGCAGTGATACTTTTCCATTTGCTAGGAAGACTGTCTTTTGCACTGTAATCAATTTCTTTAAAAAACGTTTCATCACTTGTCATGTGACTTGTTGCCCCTGAGTCGATGCACCATCCGTGTGATGTGCTATTCTGAGTTACTTTAAAGGTACCACTCCATGATGCACCTGCAGTTTCCTTTGTGGCTGTTTTAACTTTTTCTCTTGTTGGTGGCTCTTTCCTTCGCTGCTCAGCTTTCTAGATTGAGCAGTTCTTTTTTAGGTGACCGGCCTTTTTGCACCGAAAACATACCCTGGTTTCTTTGCTTTGTCGTATGCCTACATGCACCTTTAGCGCTACCTCTGATCTCTCATCCTCTTCCATATGCATATTTTCCTTTCTTTTGTTGTATTCATCAATTAATTTTCCTTTAGTTCCTGCTCTGGTCTGGTTTATAGAGCATTTATAAGGGCACCAATTGACTCTGGAAGGCTGCTTAGTAATAATGCTACTACATGATTGTCTTTCATATCTTCACCTATTGCACGTAGCTGTTCCACAATCAACAGCATAGCCTTCATATGTTCGCCATCTTTCAGTAAATTAGATGCAGCTCTTGTTTCCGTACTCAGTATTTACTGGGATCATAGATGCAACACTTACTTATTTGTGGTTTTCCTTCAGTGTCTGGACCCATAATCTGTTGGCTATGCATCAAAAAGAGACACTGGCATATTGTGAAGAAGCATATTAGGCTTTACTTGTGTGTATAAACAGCAAACATTTATAGCATATTAGTTACTTAAAACAACAGCCAGCAGGGTGAAAGATAAAAGGAAGAGAGACATAGAGCAAGTGGAAAAAAAACAAAGAACTTCCTTCCTGTGAGTACCAACAAGTTCATATCATAAATAAGCAGTACTCTGAACTGCACAGCGCTATCTACAGCTCAAGTGCTAATTATATACATATTATGCATGACTGCTGACCCAGACCAAACCCCAACCACCCGTTGCCCAATAAATACACAACATGATTATTGCCAGCGTCCACAACCTGTCAGCTGTTGGGGGATTACCAACAGACCGCTCTATCAAATGAAGCCACGAGTCAGGAGCAGCCTGCCCCCGCCATCAGCTCTCAGCAGGCTATGACTCCCCAAGCCGCTTGGGCACTTCTTTCCAATTCTCTTCGCTGGCCAGGACTACCGCCATCGCGGGGGGGCTTCCCTAACTGTCCCCTTGGCAGGCACCGCGTCCCCCCGCAGCCAGTGCCTCCTCGATAACCACCTGTAGCCCGGAATTCAGGATATCTAAACCTATAAGAGAGAGGTGAACCCCGTCCCTGTGCATAAGGTTGGAGTTGTCTCCCTCCAATTCCGTGTGCCTCACGACAAACCCCCCGAGGCGGTGAACAAATTTCCCAATGGCCACATTAAGCTTGCGCCTACTGCACTCCACACCCCACGCCAGCAAGGCCTGAACACGATTTCCGACTAGATCAGGGTCAGAGCTGGAAAGAGAGCCATGCAACGAGCCAGATCATGTCTTATCGCGTGTAGGGGATCTACTGACCTGCGCCCTCGGTCATTACCCCCCGCGTGGATAACTAAGGTCACTGGCCCCGACACATACCTCCGAAGGGACACACACTCGTATGCCCAGTATACAAAGGAATTACCCAATATCCAAACACAGCGAGGCCGAGGATCTAGGAAGAAACAAACGTTATAACAAATGAGGCCTGACATAGGACCTGTAGCGATGAGAGCCCCATCTACCCAACCGCTGAATTGCTGCAGCAGAGAACCCCCACAAACTTGCCTGAGTGGCCGCCCCTATGTGAAATGAGTGAGCTGAGTACTGCCGCGAATCCAACCCACACTCTGCCAATGCGGCCCGAAACATTGCCGTAAACTGAGGGGAGTCCCGTTGTATGAACCAGCAAGGAAAGATACGCCAACGGCCTCCTCCGTAAATATGCCAAGAAAAGCCTAACCGGGCAAAACCCCCCACTAGTCGCACCGATACGAACCCCTACCTACCTGGTCGGTCTTAGACCACCTGATGAAAACGTCCACGAAGTCCTCAGCCCACCGGATGTCCGCCAACAGAAGTGGCCCAACAGACGTTCGGTAGCGGTAGACCAATTCGCCCACATGAAAGGCCCCAAAGAAACAAAATGAAAATGCAACCCGGAATAACAATACCTCGTATTCCGAGAAGCAAACCGCACCCAACGCTGACTGAATCCGCCCTAGCAAGTCGACTGACACCGGGCGGCGGCGGTCCGGGGCCCTCCTAAGCCTCCAACCCCAGATCACTCGCTGGATACCAAACTCCGGAGAAACATCTCGCCAACCCATAAACCTACATAGAAAAGACAGAGCTGTCAAGGACTTTTCAGCCGAGGAGCAAGACTTACCCTGTTCGAGCATCGCCTCTAGCATTGTCAGTGTCGCCTCCAGGCGTCCTGACTCTGACCCCAGCACCCGACTCTGCGAGAACATGGCCAGCCATTGGCGCCAGACCGCTTGATACGATCTCCAAGAAGCGTCAGACAAGGAGTCCGCCACCAACATGACTCAATCCTCCAAATCGATCTCCCAGAAGGAGTCCGGACAGCTGAGACCCACTGCTTCCGCCGCCGGCGCTGACTCCCGAAAGCGGTCCCACTGAAACCGAGAAAGAGAGTCAGCTACCACATTCTGCACACCCGGGACATGACTTGCTTTTATCCAAATATTAAATCTTAAAGAAAGGAGGACCAGCTGACGCAGAAGCGCGAGAACTGGAGGACGAGCGATTTATCACATGGACAATGCTCATGTTGTCAGTGTGAAAAACCACCGCCCTGTTGCGAAGAGCCTCCCCCCAGAGCTCTAAGGAGACCACAATGGGAAACAACTCCAAAAACGTTAAATTCTGCATCATGTCCAAGCCCAGCCACCGGGCCAGCCATGCCTCCGCGCACCATTGGCCCTGGAAGTATGCTCCAAAACCAATGGCACTGGACACATCTGTGAAGAGGTTCAACTCCGAGTTAGACGTAGCCTCCTGCAGCCAGCCGGAGCGACCATTGTAGCGCTCCAGATAGGAGCTCCACACCTGAAGGTCTGCATGCAAATGACGAGTGACCCGAATAAAATGAAAGGGCTCCCGAACCCCCACAGTGGAAAGAGAAAGGCGCCTACAAAATGCCCGACCCATCGGAAGCACACGACACGCAAAGGCCAAGTGCCCCAGAAGCACCTGCATTTGTTGTAACTATACCTTCCTGGCGCTGCAAATCAAGTCGACCATGCGCAACAGGACTGATAATTTGTCAGCCGGAAGATGGAAAACCATCTCAACGGAGTTTATTTCCATCCCTAAAAGTGATAACACTTGAACCGGGCCCACCGTTTTGGCCTCCGCGACGCGGACCCCGAAATGCCCCACGATTGTACGATAAACCCGCCTCCTGCACTGTAACCCATTCCAAGAAACACAAAAACATCTCAAAATAGAAACAAGAAATTGAACAGGCCATGGGCAAACACATGTCATAGTATACAACCCCACGAAAAGAACAACCTAGCAAGTGAAAGCAGGAGGGGTGAACCGGCAACAGATGAAAAGCCAATGCTATGTCAGATTTTGCCAACAACGCACCGGGCCCTGCACGGCACACCAACTCTAACGCCCTGTCGATTGATGCATAGCGCACTCAACAAACATCTTTCCCGATGTCATCGTTTACGGAACCTCCCGACGGATAAGACAGATGGTGTATCAAACCACAGGAACCAGGTTCCTTCTTAGGAACCATCCCCAGGGGAGAAATGCGTAAATTAGAAAAGGGGGGGGAAAAGGAAAAAGGGCCTGTCATGCGACCCACTTGCACCTCTGCGTCTAACTTGTCCTGCAGAATATCTCCCTTGCCCTGAACCGAGCGGAGTTGTCCGCAAACTGGGGCAATGAAGACGGAACAAACGGAATCCAAAAACCCACCTGAAATCCGTCGAATAAGATCTGCGCATCGCGAACTCTATGATACCGGGCAAGCCAGGGGCGCATTCTTAGGACATCCACTGGGGTCCTCTCCCCTAGGAATGTCGTCTCGAGAAGGACCCTTCCCGGCGACCGGTTTCCCTTTCCGGAAGCAGCGCATAGCTGGGTGCGCTCCCCCGCAGTGAGCACATTCGTGGCGAAACCTGCACGAACTGTACCACCGGCACTGGCTCTCGTTAAAGAGCCAGCAGACGCCTTTTTTCTGCCCTGCAGAGGAGCCAGAGGTACCTGCGGCAGACCCGGGAAAGGGAGATGGTCTACTGTGGGTCATTATTAACAGCCAGAGACTACCATCCTGAACCCCAAAATCCATACCCGGGCACACCGCCCTCTTTTGGCGGAATTGCTGGTCATAGTGATACCAGCATTGCCCCCCGTAGATTTTATAGGCCCCCCAAATTAGGTCTAAGTACCCAAACAGAGAAGGAGCCTTATCCGGGAAACGGCGCACTAGGATGCTTGAAAAGATATTAAACCCTTGCAACCAATTGCCAAAGGTTCTGTCCACGGAATCCTTGTCAGGAGAGACCAAGGACAGCAGATCCACATACTCACCTCTCCATATTTTCTCTTGCATGTCCATAAGGACATGTAAACCTAACGGTGCAAGATCGCATACCACCGAACCCGCGCGAAAAGCCCCTGTGGCAGGCTGACCCCTAGGGTCCTGTGCACGTCCCTGTACTTCCGCCTGCACTGGAAGTCTATTATCCTGGCTGCGGCTACACTTTGCCCAGTAAGCTGTTATGGGAAACTGTCAACTAGGGTCCTAAGCAGGCGCAACCACTCCCTGGGCTGTTCTTGAGCACCAGTCCCCTGACCAGCGCAATGTAAAAACTAACCGGACCACTGGGGAACTGCTGGCACCGAAACCTCCTCTTCTACACTTCTACCCGGTAACTGGTGAGTACCCTCCCTTTTCTCCCCTTCATAATGCCAGGGTGCCACATTATATCCCCTTAGGCACCATCCCCTTATCCCTGTAAGCAGTCATGTTATCCTTTCCTTATGTTTCCAGGGAGGTACTGTACATGCTGTTGTATATCCCAACATTATGAAACGTCAGCTGCTCCATTAGCTCTCAGCACACAGTAAACACAGGGTTGAAGCAGCAGGATACTGATAGATTCCTTATTACCTTTGCAGCTGTCGATATAATTACTCTGCAGTGGAATTTTAGAGCCAAGATGTAGCCGGCATGGTTAACAGAATTAACAATCATTATCGATTAAAACAGATTGAAATCAGAATCAGATGAATCATCAGAGTCACAGCCCCTGTCCTGCAGTTTGAAGCTTCACAACGTTTCAACTAGTCACAGCATTTGCGTTTCAGGTCTCAGCTGTAGAGTGACTGAGCACTTCAAAGAAGATGGCGGTTATGTGCAGAAAGAGTTATTAAAATTATTAGTGACAGGCAGAAGTGCACTATGTCAGTAATGTTCCCCTACCTTGCTAGCCCTGGCCTTCCCTGGCTTTATATATATTCATTATATATTTAAATATATTCCCTTGCTTAACCTCCCTGGCGGTAATCTCAAGCATGGCTTGGGGTTAATTTTCAGTACCAAAAGCGGTAACCACGAGCCACGCTCGGGATTACACTGTAGTATCACTTACCTTGTCCTTACGAGCCCCTGGTGTCCTCCCACAGTGTTCTCCGTCCGATGCCGGCATCCGTCTTCCGGGGTTCCCTTTCCTTGCGAGGGCCTCCGGAACCAGGAGGGAAATGTAAAAAAAAAAAATATATACACATCCACTCACTACATTTAAAAACAATGTACCACTTTAATATTAAAAATTTCTGAGATAATGAGACCACCTTGGAGGTTAATTAGCTTTAAGGCAGTCACTTGTGGGATAGAAAAAGATAATATTATATACTGACATTTGGCAGGAGCTGCTGCTGTTTTGCTCACCCTGTGTTACTTCCAAGGTGGCTTCTTGCTTCTCTCTCCTGTGGGTACTGTAACCGCACCCCTTGGTGCCATCAGCAAATTATGGCCCCTAAATAGGGAGACCAATTACATGCATCCACAAATGGGCAGCTGGCTCTACTACCTAAGTAGTACTCTCACAGCGTGCTTCCTTGTAACTATCAGGGACCCTGGAGCACTTCAGACCCACTCACCGAGGCTTGACTGGGATCACTGAGGGCCTTTTCCACCCTGGACCAGGCTACTGTGTTGATAGCCCTGAACACTTTCCATCAGCAGATTTCAACAAACACCAGACGACACTTGGTGAAGGTTAAAACAACAACTGACTTTACGAGACATAACACATATATTTTAAGCCCCCAATAGCCTCATTTACATACAATGTTGCATAGAGCACTATAGTACAAGGAAGGGTGGGGTAAGACAATAGCAAGGGCTGATGGGAGATTGAGGAGGGACAAAGCAGCTAGTTTAAACTGGTCTGACAGTGTACCTGGGACAACTCCCTACTGGGGAAACAATGGGACAGGAAAAAGGGGGAGGCGAAGAGGCATAGACAAGCAATACATTCAACATACCCTGCACTAATACTGGGCACAGGGTGACCAAAACACAAGAGGAATCTGGGAACCTACATATAGTGTCTGTCTTCCATTACCAGTGACGGTGACTACCGTCACATCAACTCAATGGAAATTCCTTCTTAAAGGATACTAGGCATGTGCAAAACCTGCAGGGCAGATTTCAAACCAGCCACATATACTCTGACTCTCCCTGCAAATAACACTGCTTACAAAACTGTCAATTCCTTGTGTTTGCATAGCGCGTGTAGTTTGCCCAAGGCTCTCTCATTTTACTTGCAGGTGAAGGTGAAGCATAACATTTTTTTATCCTCTATTTTTAATTACTTGTTCCAGCTGTAGGATCATACACGGTCATTACTAATACGTTGCACTTGTATAGTCCGCAACCACACAGATAACATAGCAACATCCTCAGCATCAGATGATTGAAATACGGCTATTTTTAAAATACCTTTTATCCTTTCTTACCAATGTGAGATAAGCTGTCTGTCACCGACAGAGTGTGTCATTTAAAGTGGCTTTGTCAGCTTCTGGGGTCCTTGCATATTTTGCATTCAGTGTGTGGCGAAGCTGAGGGTAGATATAGTTAATAAGAGCTATACTTGCTTGTGCATCAATCTTCTTTCTTACGCTCCTAGTGCCTTCCTCACTAGGAGTCCATGTCACTGCTGTACACTTGCACATGAGAAAAGTACAACACTGAGGTCTAAGATGAGGTTAATAATGTATGATCCAACAAGACTGTGGCATCCACAAGAGACCATCTCTTGTGATATGCAAGAAAATGCCATTTACGAGAGGATTCCCAAGTGATCTCTGTGGCAACTGGCAAAACTTGATGGTGAAAGCTCTGTCAAGTTTTGTCAAACTCTCTGTTCTCTACAAAGTAGTTCTGATTTTGTCTTGTAATATCTTTTAATAAGATTCCAGCTTAGTCAAAATACTTATTTTGGGTGAGGAGTAGCATAGCTTAACCCTAGTTTATAAAAGTGACGATTTCTATGAGAAATCAGCACTTTTATAAATTTGCTAGGAAACACCCCCCTGGCTGCCGATCAAACGGCCAGGGAGGATTCCTTCCTACTTTCGTTAGCTCCCTTGAGCTAACGGAAGTGGCATGCATGCGCTACTTGAGCATGCCTGCCTCCCCACTCACCAGCTCCTCAGCTCCAGACCTTAGACCAGTATATGTGCGCGTGTGCACAAGCTGACACTTGAACATGTAGCTGTGTGTGCGTGTGCGCGAGCCAGTGCGCGCGCGTGAACATGTGCACCAATTCAGAGGCATCTGATTGGTTAGTTTCCTGTGAAGAGACTGCATGTCATTTCCGGGGGGAAAAGGTGGAGGGCATGCAAGATCTACAGCCTTTGCAAGCTCTTTTAAGATATACTCCAATGAATATATGCTTGAAAATTCTTGCATGTATTCATTGGGAGTATATCTACTAAACAGTGATTTTTTTTTCATGTGGGCAGTGGAGTGCTCTTTTAAGGTCTGTCAGCAGTGGGCCTTAGAGTTAACTGGTCCATGTCAAGGCTTGAGCTCTATGATGTGACGCCTCCAAAACCACAAACATAGAGCAATGAGAACAGAGTGGTGAGAATGGTGAAGATAACTTCAAAACTATAAATTATGGGATTGGCATCCAAACATTCCAGGATTTAGATGAATCTAATGATCATCATGGGCATACATTTATAAATGTGCCACATGATAATAATAAACTGCATTACAATTACAATTATTTATATAGTGTCAACATATGGTGCAGCGATGTACATATATATTGCAACCTTCCAGATATATGCCCCTGTAGAGGCTTAACTAAAGGAAGTCAGAGAATGCCAAAGGGAAACTGGAATGTGTACGTATTATCTTTGGCAGCATCTCAGAATTGACTGTGCAGAAGCTAAGTCTACTATACTTTAGTGGGTATATGAATTACAGTAGATCCCCCTAGCCTTGTTATGTACTAGATGAGTTTTAGTGCATAGACTGTAGATCATACAAATGCACTACTGCATACATCCCACAGCAGGACCTTCCTGATTTAGGGGTTTTATCCTCTGGTCTTGGGTTAGCTCCCTGGTATCATGCATGCAAGGCACCAGGGAACTGTCTCCAGCAAGCACCATAAAAGTACATCATTAGATGTGCTCATGCTGTGCTGATTGATGTCAGAACAGTAGGATCATACACCAAGTACTTCAGCCATGCTCTGTCTATGGTCTGCCCTGTGTGTTGTCTCAATTGGATGATACTGCTCTCTTTACAGACGGGACTTTCCATTATGAGAATTTCATACCACCCAATTTTGGGTGCTGCAACAGTTAACCAAATCAATGATAAATGTGTTTCAATTTTTTCCTTTCTATTTTTGTTTGTAGGAAAAGTTTATAGTATGCAAAAATGTGGAATCTTTGACATATATTGATAATCAGTTTTTCGAAACTGTTCTTTAAAAAAGGGAAACTTGTGTTTTAGCTCCTGTTTCATTCTAAATTATTGCCAGAAAAGAATGCATTAGTCATAACCAGATTTGTTTCACAGTTATCCCTTGAAAGAACATCTTAAACTTTATTACATTCTCAAATGGCTTGTTTAAAAGTTGAAATTTCAAATATATATATATGTAAAAAACTATCTTCCACTCTGTGGAAAGATTAAGTATATTAATAGGATTTACATATGGAACTTCAGTAAAATGATATACTGTACAGTTTGGCTATCCTTAGTAAAAACCTGAGAAGTTGTTTTAATAGGAAAGAATG